CCCCGCGCCGCCGCGCGTCCTTTGTCTGGTCCCGGCGCCCGGGCCTCCCTTTTCCGCTCCTCCTGTCTCTCGAGTCTCTGTGTGTGTGTCTCTGTAAGCTGTCTCTCTCTCTGGGCCTCTTTTTCGAGTGGGGGCGAGCAGTGAGTGGAGGGATGCTCTGCACGCCCTCCAGGCCTGGGCCTCTCCCCTCCTGGACCCTGGGACCCGCCCACCTGGCTCTGAGAAATGAGGCCCCAGAGGCCACACTTCCCTGCTGTGTGACCTCAGGCCAGCTCCTTCCCCTCTCTGGGCCTCACGCTGCTCACTCAGGTCCAGGAACGTGAGTGTGGCCTCCTGAGGACCCTCAGAACCCTCACAACAGCCCAGCACCCGTTCCTCTGATCTGTTCCCTCAGTTGAAAAAGGGAAACTGATGCACAAAGAAGGAGGGCGTAGTCAGAGGTCACACGGGGCCATGAAGCCCTTAGCGGCCTGGTTACTCTAACGAGGGCGCTCAGGCAGAGGCCCACCACGGGACAGGCTGGGCGAAGCGAGGGATAAACTGAGACAGTGAGGGCCCTGCATGGAGGGAGAAGGGCCCCGAAGTGGGAGGCTCAGCTAACACCACGTGGTGGCCCAGCCTTACCATGCATAGCCACTCAATGCCCTATTGTCGCCAGTATCCAGGCATCTGTCACTGTGACTGGGGCCAGGGGCGCAGCTGGGGGCCAAGGGGGTCAGACACAGGAGGAGCTACACAGCAAGTGACCGAAGGTGTGTTCACGGCAAAATCCGTATGTAAGATGTATGTGCAATGGTGCAAAAGAGTTGGAGAAAGGGTGACAGAGGAGGGGGGAGACAGAGAGGGGTTCAGAGGGGAGAGATGGGGAGAGGGGAGAGAGAGAAACAGAGGGGAAAAGAGAAAGAAATAGAAAGAGGGAGAGACACGGAGGAAGAGCTGGAGAGAGTGGGAGGGAAGGTTCCATTGCTCCCAGTCGGCCTCCGCCTCTCCATCTTTGATCTGCCCTCCTCCGCTCTGACTTCACCCCTCCATCCCTGTCCTGGGACAGCCCTCGAAGGTCTCTGTGATCCCCGTGTCACCCCAGGCCACGCATTTGCTGTGGGCTGGAGCAGGGCAGGTGTGGCCTCCACCAATCCGATCCCCATTAGCGGCTCAGCCGGCTCAGCCGCGGAGGAAACGCGACAGTGATCCCGCTAAGCTCTGGCACAGGTGGGAGGGAGATGGGGTGATGGCGAGATTAGTAGGCGGGGCCTCGACATCCTGGGCAGGAACCCCCAGTCACCTCTTAACCCCATCCGCGTTGAGGACAGCTTGGGGGGGGTGGAGTCAGTAACCCTGAAGGCTCTGGGGTCATCTGATCAGGAGTCAAACCCTGATTCTATCACCGCCACCTCCCGCTGTCACCTTGGGCAAGTCAGGTCCCTCTGACCCTCAGTTTCTCCAGCCGAGAAATGGAGAAGATGGTCTCCAGCTTTCAGTCTGATTGTGGGAGTCAGCAAGAACGTTGCGCATGCTCAGTGCCGGCACACAGTGAGGGTTCCGAGGCTGGAAGCTGGCGTGTCCTGAAACAGTGGCTGGGACTGCTGATTGCTTTTCGGGCTCCCGTAGCAGACATTATCAATCAATCACAGACCTCTAGCTGGCTGAGCCTGGACAGGAATTCAGAATCCATCTCCACATGTGCGGACCTCTGTGCCATACCTTTAGTGGAGGGACAGTGGCCCACAGAGGCAAGGTGAGTGTCAGAGGACACAGAGTGAGGAGGCTGGAGCCAGCAGCTGGCACGTGGTGGCCCCCAGGAAATATTTGTTGAATTGAATGAGTAGACTCGGCCAACAGAGTGGGTTTCAATGCAGTGGCACCCAGGGCATGGCGTAGAGTAGGTACTCGGCTTTGCTTTGCTGTTATTATTTTTACTATTATTGGATTTTTCATTATGAAAGGGGGCTCTGGTGTCCAAACCCTGCATTTGGATTCTTGGTCCACCATTTACCTTCTGCCCAACCTTGTGCAAATCCCTTCATGGAGACTCCGGGGAATTGCCTGGAAATTTTCACATAAAGAATTTTCCCTGGCACATATCAGGCCCTCGATACATGGCGATGTTATTAGTAAAGTATTAAATAGTATGAGACCGGGACGCAGATCTGTGGGGTCTGCATTACTGCTTTATCGCAGGCCCCTGTGGCAGACCTTGCTAATCAACCCAGTGCATGTTCCTGCCCAGCCTGGACGTGGCTTCAGAATAATCGTCCAGGCAGCCACTTGCAGCCAATTGGAGATGCAGGGGAGTTGACCCCCAGTGCCACCCTTTTAATAAGAATAAATGGAAAGGAAGCACAGGGCCCAAAGAAGAGCTAAGATCATCCCTGAGGACACACAGCTATAGGGTGGCAGAGCTGCCCCAATGCTTTGGCCACAGTCGTTAAAACCAGCTCTGGGGTCCAACACATCCAGGTTTGAAATGGAGTTCCCCATTTATGTGACCCGACATCTCTGGGCTCAGCTTCCTCACTTGTGAAATGGAGAATGTGCTGCTGTCTTTCAAGATTGTTGGGAGAAATAAGTGAAATGGTGCCTCGAGGTGCTTCTCAGGGTGCCTGGCACACGGTAGATACTCAGTGGAGTAGGAAGGTTATTAATCACGGTATTATAAGGCAGGGATGGTGGATGTGACAAGCTGGCTGCCACTTCCCATGACTGTGCACATAGCAGACATGGCTAGCTGATCGCAGAGTGCTTTCCAGCTGCACCCACGGGCAGTTGTAGATCCCTCCCTACTCATTTTCCAGTAACTTGGATTTCACAGCAAAGTGGAGCAGAGGCCCAGAAGCTTTAATTGGCATACCTGAGGACACACAGCTGGGAAATGTTAGACCTGGGACTAGTCTTGTTTGGCAGTGAAAGTTGGAAATACAGACCCAGGATCATAAAAGCTCATGTGCAAATCCCTGATCCACCATTTATAGGCTGCATGATCTTTGGTAATTTTTCAAACATTTCTGAACCTCATTTCCCCCCTCTGTTGTAGCTCAGGCTGCTTATAACAAAATACCATAAACTGGGTGGCTTAAACACCAGACATTAATTTCTCATAGTTCTGGAGGCTGGAAGTCCGAGATCAAGGTGCTGGCTGATCCGGTTCCTGGTGAGGGCTCGCTCCCTGGTTTGCAGACAGCCTTCTCCTTGCTGTGCCCTCACATGGTGGAGAGAGAGATCTCTCTCCCCTCCCTTTTTACAAGGGCATGAATCCCATTCATGAAGGCTCCACTCTCATGACCTAATCACCTCCAAAAACCATCACACTGGGGGCTAGGAGTCCAACATATGAATTTGGGAGGACACAAGCATTTAGTCCATAGCATCTGTGAAGCAGGGGGAATAAAATCTTCTTCTTTTCAGGGTGGTTGTGAATAAGAAAAGAAAAATTGCCTCTAGAGGGCTTTGCACTGTGCCTGGCACCCAGCAGTGCCCAATATTTGGGAACAATTATGGTATTGTATTTTGGGTCAGGGATGGCTGAGAGGATGTGTACCTGCTGACTCTTTCTAATTCTGTGGCCAAAACAGACATTGCTAATCAATCACAGTGGAAAGACCAAAGGAAATTCTGGCTGTTTTGCCTTCCCATGCCCATGACAGACAATACCAATCAATACTAGCACTGTTTCCTGCTGAGCCCAGATGTTGCTTTAAAATTCCTCTCCATGTGGCCCTTACATATAAAATAGATGTAGAATATATTTAAAAATTGCTTAAAGAGTAGATCTTAAAAGTTGTCGTCACAAGAAAAAAAACCATAACTATATATAGATAGATGTTAACTATAAAAAATTATAACTATGGTGATGGATGTTAACTAGACCTATTGTGGAGATCATTTTGCAATATATACAAATACTGAATCATTATGTTGTATGCCTGAAACTAATATAATGTTCTATGTCAATTATATCTTAATTTTTAAAAAGAGATGTAGAAAAAAACATTCAATAAAATTCAACATCCATTCTTTGAAAAAAGTCTTGTTAGGTTACTAGGAATAAAATTAAACATTCTTAACCTGATAAAGGCCATCTACAAAAAGCCTACAGCAAAGATCATATTTAGCCGTGAAATGTTTAAAGCATTTCCTTTAACATCAGGATTAAAGAAGGCACTGTCGCGTTGTAGCCCCTGCAATAAGACAAGAAAAATAAATAACAGGTATAGATTGGAGGTAAAGAACTAAAACGATCATTATTTGCAGGTGTTATTATGCTACACATAAAAAAACGAAAGAGCTCAGTGGGGAAACTGGGGGAGTAAATGCCTGGTGGGAAAATTATGCATGAAGCAAAAGAAATATTAACACATTTGGGATGTGAGTTACCTTTGCTCGGAGGAGGGAATTCATATGAGGGCTTCAAAGCTAATAAAAATGTTATATTTCTTATTCTGAAGACAAAAATGTTCATTTTATTATTCTGAAAATGCACAGATTTGTTTTAGGTAAACAGGCAAACATATATGCAAATGGACATAGGTGGCATTTATATATGGAATTTTTCACAGTGAAGTCTTTTGCTTTGCCTGGTCGGTGCTCAAGGAATGGAAGGGATTATCAGGATAATGCGTTGTCTCCTCCCCACGTTCAAGGCCATGTCAGACATGACACGAGCCCCTCCTACCTCCCGCTGGCCCCTGGCATGGGGACTGGGCCGTGAGCGGGTGTGGCCTGTTGTCTCCAGCAGATACTCGGGGCCATGGAGTCTCAGGTGGCGGGGGGCCCGGCCGGCCCAGCCCTGCCCAACGGGCCACTCCTTGGGACAAACGGAGCCACTGACGACAGCAAGACCAACCTCATCGTCAACTACCTGCCCCAGAACATGACCCAGGACGAATTCAAGAGCCTCTTCGGCAGCATTGGCGACATCGAGTCCTGCAAGTTGGTTCGGGACAAGATCACAGGTGTGGCTGCTGGCAGGTGGGAGTGGGGGGCAGACAGAGCCGTAGCCTCAAGAGGACAGGTGTGATGGGAGCAGGTGGACCCTGGGGGTCTGAGGTGTGATGGGGAGACAGGTGTGATCCCAGGTGGGAGCTCATGGGAGCA